CAGCGGGAGCGTCCCTCCCAGCCAAATCCGACACTCGCGGACGCTTGCGGACGCTTGCGAACGCTGCGCTCGCATTCCGCGTCAACTCCTAACCCCCAGACCCCCAACCTTCAAACGAGAACCCTTCTGCTACGCATTCGGGAAAACAAATATCCGACAAGGAAGAACTCCCAAGAGAAAGAAAAGGCTCACCTGAGCCCTGCCCTCGCCTGCCAGCTGCCCTCTTGGCAGGCCGCGAAGGGAAGGCCTGTGAGGCCCGGGGCGCAGGCCAGGGCCACGATGTCGGCTTCCCCGGAGCCCGTGAGGTCCAGCGAATGCGAGCGGTTCACGGAGATGACATCAGCCCAGGAAGCCCCGTAGGTGTCATGCAAGATCTTATTCAGATCAGGGCACTGTGCTTTGCAGCTGCCTTCAACGCTATACTGTCCGTCCTCCCGGCAGGTTGCGAATACGGTGCCGCTCCAGCCAGGTGAGCAGTCATACTTCACGCGCATGCCCTCTGACCAACCGATTCCTGCAACAGAGTTGTTGTAGTCCGCGATGGCATTGGGCACTGCAGGGGGTGTCTTGCAGAAAGCCAAACATCTTCCATGCAGAACGAAATTCCCGTCGTCCTCGCATCTCGCCGTGATGATGCCAACGAAAGGATCGAGGCACTGATATCTTAGGGACATACCGGCTTGCCATGTTCGGTTTTCCAGCTCGCTCGGCTCCAGCAAGGGCTTCGCACGTGCTATGGTTGGGGGATCAGGACAAAGGACCTCCGTGCACTCGCCCGTAAACGTCCAGCGACCCTCCTTGCCACACTTGGCGCGGATCTTGCCCACAAAACCTCGGATACATTCGTAGGAGATCACCATGTCGCTTGTCCACTCACGGATCACCAGATCTGACTTGTGCAGCCTGGGGGAAGCGGCACGGCATAGACAGGATGGTGCCTACCGGGCCCCATATACCGAGCAAGAGCTCTAGAAATGGGTAAGTAACAACCACTCTCAGTACGAAACTCCTTGCCAAGTGCTCAATCAGGAGTTCAACCAGGCGTTGGAAGCTTCCCTGGTAAATCACTGGATAGGAAAATCTACAGCATGTCTTAAGGCAAACGGCGGGATCTTCCAAAACTGGAGTGGCAAGGGACACTACGGGGATCGAAAGTGCTCTCGATGGACTTCGGAGGCAATTGAAGCTCTCGATACCCGTTCATCATATTCGGGGGAACCCAAAATCACAGACCAGCCCTCACCTTCGTCTTCTTGTGTTCGGTCGCTTTGGGGTTGGCCCGGCCTGGCATGACCAACTTCTTCTCCGGGCTGTCCACAGCGGATCGGCTTGCAAAGCCCGGTGGGCTCGTATTTGCCTCGCGGCGAACAGCGCAGGGCGGGGGCGCCGTGGAAGCCCGGCTCGCAGTCCAGCGCGGCCTTGCCGCACAAGGGCAGCCAGGCGCCGGCCACGCCCGGCAGCCGATGCTTCTCCACGGTGTCATTCCGGATCTGGAAGTGGAGCTCAGAGCCGGCTAGGAAGTGCGCGATGTCCCCTTCCGCGTTGCATGTCGCGTAGTAGATCGGCGGCTGCGGGCCCTGAACTTCATGGGCCACGGGAAGCAGGAACACCACAAACTCATGGCTTGCGAAGCAGCCCAAGCTCCAGAAGAGTGCGTAAAACAGCAAGACCCATGTCTCAGGGCCACAGCTGCGAGTGGAGATCGTGAAATCCACGTTAAATTCCGTGAAACGGAATCGCGACGTTCGTTCTGTTATGGCCTCCTGTTCGCTCATGTCCTGCTGCTGCAGCTGCAACAGGTAGTTCAGCCAGGGTTTTCCATAGGGGTATGCGCAAGTGGCATGAAGGACAGCCAGAACTGGCATCTCTACCGTGCAGAGCAAGCAGTGCAACTCGTAGATGCGCTTGTCATCTAGATTCAGGGGGCCGTAAGTCAGCACCAGCCATTGGAAGTATGTCACTGACACCACCCCTTTTACCCCCCAGAACTTCCAGAAAGGTCCGATCTTGCTCAGGTATTGATCGAAGCTGTGTTCGAAGGTGAACACGAACGCGAGCGCAAAGGAACACAGAATGAAATTGACCGCGGCCGCCGCCAGGTGGATGTTTTGGTCGTAGAGTTCATTGCAGGATGTGCACGTTTTAGAAGCCCAGAAGCACAACGTCGGGGCTCTCGACTGAAGGACACCGATCATGACCAGCCTCGTCGCCGTGATTATGATAATCATGAACACCCACGTTCGCACCCCCTGCAGGCTCAGGTTGCGAAAAGGCACAGCGAATTCTTGATGCGCAGGGTCTCGTCGGGATTCCACATCAACGACCGTGACGAACAAGCCAAGCACTGACCACAGCGCCCACGCCTCCCAAATCTCAGAGCTCTCCATGATTGTGGAGATGATGTGTAAGGAATGGCCGTCTGATTGTAGTGCGAGCTTTCTCACACAGAGGTGCCCAAAGAAGCCGATATTCACCGGAAGCAGAAGCATGTCCAGCAGCCCATCCACCGTGATCTTGGTCACGACATCCTTGTTCCGCACAGATGAGAAGTGACAGACCTCCACAAAAACCACAGCATAAGTCAGCCATAAGGCTGAGTAGGAGAGTAAGACTTCACTCGGCCAAACACCCTGAGAGGCCACAGAGATCACCTGGTACTCCCGGCTCAAGAAACCGAGCTGGATCGCCAAGTGGAACCAGTACCAGCGCACCGCGGCATGGGTAAAAAGGAACCTCTTCAGCTGCATGCACTTGCCCGGGGCCGGCTCCTGCGCCCCCTCCTCCAAGGAAGCCGCGCGCTTCCTCTTGTAGACGCAAAGGCAGCAGAGGCAGTTCCAGATGCAAGCTGTGCAGCGCTGGCAGCAGTAAACGAAGGGCCGCGAGAAGTAGCGCAGGACCAGGGCGGCCGCGCCCAGGCCGAACTGTAGGAGCACAGCATCTACGGAGCTCATGCGTGCAGCCTACGGTACTCGACACAGTGGGTTCTGGATTTTTGCCCCGTTATGATTCTTAGATTCTGAATTGGCATTGCGCTTTCCTGAAAGTAGCGGCTTTAGCTGAAAGCTTCAATTCAAGTGCCTTGTGTACGCTGCACATGTTGAGAGTTGCTGCTGCTCCAGCATTACTGCCTGCTACTTTGCGCCGGCGAAACTCCTGCCACAGCATGTAGCCACATGCCTGCCTTGTAGATTTCAGTTTTAGAGTTTGACTGAGATTTTACATGCCTGTCCACATGACATGACCCGCATTACCAGAGTTCCTAGTCCGCAAGAACTATAGGTCCAATGCAGGAGCCAAAAGCTCACGTGCCATGTACAGCCCTGCAGCGACGAAGTTCAAACTGTCAAAACCGAAGGAAACTGAGGGAAAGGAGATCCAAGCTAGAAGGCCGCGCCGTCAGCCGCTGATCAGCCGAAGTGATTGCCTTGCTGCAGGCTCGGAAATAAGCTCCACCCCGGAAGGATCCACATCATCAATCGCACAATCAGTATCAACAAAACAGTAGCAGAGCTACCAATCTGATGATCACTGCTCTCGGCAGTCTCGTGCTCATAACCCTCTCACAGCCGTGATTAGGATGACGCTTGGAAGTTGAGGGGAGAACTACCTTGGCTATAGAGGTATGAAGTCTTCGCAACAAGGGTCATCGTCATCGTCATCATCACCATCATCATCACGCCCTCAGCACCACTCAAAGGAAGAAGTCTGATGAAGACCTACGGATGCGTCCGAAACCAAAAGCACCACGTTAGCAGCCTGTGTAATCTTGTGGTCCATCTCGCCGGTCGTGACTCGGACTTCCTCCATTGCCTTGGGCTCCATGCTCATGAAGCATTTACTTCCAGACGAGTCGAAGCAATGAATGGCACAGCCGATAGCAGAAACATGCAGTAAATCCTTGTTAGCATCTGCCTGGTCTGGACATGATGGTCCCGCAGCAAGACTGGAGTTCGATCTTCTCACCGAAATGGATCAGGGTTCACGGAGCAGGCTGCGGCTGGGAGTTTCCAAAAGCTCTCAGTCTCAGGGCCCAGCAGAATCACCGACTTCCTGCACCAGCTCGCTTAGCCGGTCCAGCCTCATCCAAATGTCTGCCTCAGAAAGGGGAGACGTTTGCGTAGGTCCTCACTTGTCAACCACCATTTGTGATATCTGCTTTGGACTACCGCCTGACTCCACGAGCTCTGCTAAACTGCAGCAACATCTGGGGTACCCTAGTCCCAGAACCCCACAGGAACACCTTCCAAAGCCGACACAGCCGTCAGATTCTGCCACCAGGGACCTAATCTCTAGCATGCTCCAATGCAGGGGCCTTCATGGCCAGAATCGGGATACCATAACTACAAAGGAACTAGAAGGGGTTCAAGTTCTTCCGGTCCCCGAAACCCTAACAGCCCTAAAGCCTAGCCCCTAGACCCTAAAAGCCATAAAAAAAAAAAAACCTAAACCCGAGACCCTAAAAGCCATAAAAAAAAAACAAAAACCCTTTTTTTTCGCACCCCCCAGCCGTGGGAGGCTCTGGCCTCGGCCACCTTGACTCGCTCCTCTTCCAGCGTCCGCGCCTGCGCTGTTGGAGCTCACAAAGTGAGTCTCGCCCGTGGGGTTCAGAAACTGCTAGGCTGCTAGGGGCTTTTGGGTTTTGGGGTTAGGGTGAAGAAAGGGTTCAGAAAGTCGGGGGTTTAGGGTTTGGGGTTCAGAAAGAAGGGGCACCCGTAATGTAAAAGGCTAAACAAGAGGCTTATAAATTTGAAGGACACCAGATACGGTAGAATAGCTTCCCGAAAGCCCCTTGTGAGCCTGACAGTGTGCTCCTTTGGTGGGTCTAACAGCCTTGTATTCCTCCATCGCTCTTCGAACTCAGAGCTGATATTTTTTGCTCACCGGTTTCTGCTGCGTTCAAAGCTTTCCACTCCGGGACTCAACGATCGTAGACTTCGGAAGGTGCCTCGAAAGATGCAGTTCCACGGACTTCCGCGACATGCACAGATGTGAGCTCTACCAATAGTAGGCCGGGCCTTCTGCTCCCGATGAAGTACGGCGTCCGTGTGCTCCCGGTAGGCCTGCACCGAGAAGTACTGCCAGCACGAATCACAACGACTCACGGGACAGCCTGTGACGCTACGAACGAGCCGAGAGTTGCATCCGACATTCCGGCCGCTCAATCTTTGCCGACTCTATGCCGGAGCTAAGGCATCCCATTCAGACAGAAAAGCAAGTATCAAACCCGCAGCAGACCTTCAACCCAGATGCATTGTCCAGGCTCCGCTGCTGGCTCTCAGCGATGTTCGCCGAAAGCGACGCACCTTGTCTTGCAAGCGCTTTCGAACATGACTGGAGTCCAAGGCGTCTGCTAGCAACACGTCGGAACGCAGCATGCCAGGATGAGATCGGGGCTCAGCTTCTGCATTTCTGCCTGCAAGCACAGGAAAGTGGTGCAGCTGCTCTCTGCATCCTAAAGCCCTGCAGCCCCAAAACTTGAGCACTGAACAAAAACGGCCAAGACCATCAGAATCCATCCCGGAGCTGTAACCCTTTGCCCGAGGCCTGCCCCTTACAGCTCAACGATTATGATACTTGTGGTTTTGTGATGTGGTAATTCATATGCTACTTATACTGAGGAATTTAAGGAATCATGTTGGGAATTATTCAAGCTCCTATATACAGTAGTTCAGGACGGACAATTTGTTTCAGTATCTACGCGATGGTTCTAAGGCTGCCTCGCATTGCCAGTATTGCCAAGCCTGGAGGCCCTCATGGAGATTTAGACATGAGCCACCCAGCTGAAGCATGCCGTCAACTCTTGTGATCATACCAATCTTCTTGTACGATAGAGGCCGCTCGAAGCGTCGGCGACTGCTGTGGCCCGAAAAACGGGTTTCCGTAACGAAGAATCCTGTTTGCAAATTTCGGGCAAGTACTCCAAACCCTAAGCCGTAAACCAAGCAGTGCAAACTCCCGTCGCTAGCCAACCAGGCGCACCCGGATATCGCCCGCCGCACGCTCCATGGACTCCGCCATTTCGCGGCGGACCTCTGCAGTTCTTCCATTCTGGCCGATATAGGGGCCTTTCTGACCAAAACGGGGCTTGGGGTTATATAGACTGTAGTTATAATCGGAACCTTCAGGAATAGTAATGATTAGTACATATTGGCAATTGCTCAGCCTTCTATGAGAACACGATCGAAGCGCACGGCAGGGGTCTGTGGCTCTGTACGCCCCTGGTCCCGGCACTCGGTAAAGCCGGATGCCGGGCTGCCGACCAAGGACAGCTCCTGAGCAAAGCAAGGGCAAAGCTAGTAATGTAGGGGCCTAAATCGGCCTAAATGATTACCTATACTATTTTGGGGGGTGCCTTGCTATAATAGTAACCACAATTATAGTATAATGGGCCCCAACACCCTATTCTAATTATGAAGGCCTCTATATTACACAGTTTGGTAAAACAAAGGTAGTTCGTATTGGGGGGGCCACGGCCTTCCTGCAGTGCAAGGGTGGGGTTGGCTATGCGTGCACAAGTGCAGGAGGTGAAGTTCTGCAGCAGTGGATGCGCTCGATCAGGATGATTTTCAGGGGTTTTCAAGGGTTCTCAGCTTACCCTATATATACTATATAGACTATGTATATACTATATATACTATATACTATATATCCGTCCTTTTGGGCTTGGACTTCTCGGGCCATTCCGGCCTGATCCAAGCGCTCGCACAGCGCTGTGAGCTCGTCGGCGAGAAGCTTGCGGGTCTCCCCCTGCCCCCAGCAGGTCGAAAGCAGGAAAAGGGGGGTCTTTGTTGGTCGAGCCTGACTCCAAAATAGACCCTGCTTTACTTTAGAACGTCGGCTGGAAAGCTGTATGGCGATGGCCCAGAAAAGCGCACTCCTTTCGAGCTGCCAACTTGGAGCTCCCAAGGCCCTGCACCGCGTCATAGGAAGACAATAAAAAAAGGCCCGCCTCCGATGTGGTCAAGTCCCGCGTCAGGGCCTGATGGATGGCATTTCTGGGATTTTCTGCGAATTGAAGGATGGAAGGTGCAGCCGATTGCGGCCGCAACCGCGGCAAGGCGCAGTCCAATCAAGGCAAGAGTTAATTCCTCCTACGACACTCCGACTTCGGAACCCCGCAAAACCCAAGTGTCAAGCATCACTCACCTTACCAGCCATAGGTGACATGAGTGACTGCCCGCTGCCCCAGTCCTCGTCGGAGTGCTGCAGCTGTGCCAGGAGGTCCGCCACTTTGGCGCTGAGACGACTGTCCAGCTCGCCTACCATGTTGGTCGTCGTCGCCTGCACGTGCTTCAGAAGGAATCCAAGGAATCCACCATGCGAGTCACATTCCGGAAAGCTCCTCGTTGTAGTCGTACTACAGAAACCACCCCAAACCGAGTCTAACTGCTGAGGCCCCTACATGAAGCCCTTACGGTAACCCTTATAGGACCCGCTTTCAAGAACCCTAACGTTGGACCGTAGTCTACCTATAGTCTCCATTGTAGTTCCTTTTGGGGGATACCTTATAAGATCC